TACTATGTACTCAGCGGCATCAACCTCAACATATCCATATTGCAGCAGTTAAAAGGATAACTCGTTATTTACTTATCATGGGTTATATTATAAGGTTGGATCTCAACTTAGTCTTCAAGTTTAAGAGTGATGACAATGAGATATGTATGAATGGGCTAATGAATTTGCTAACTAATTAATTTAGATGGGAACATGCTTTGATTATTAATCACAACTATACTGATCTTGATAGGTCAGTGAGCAATCATTAATGCAAATCGTCAAGTGCAAGATATCTCATTGTTCATTTGTTTTGATAATTGATGTTCTTAAATTATTCGACAATTTTTCTTGAGAAAAATCGAATTCATTATCATATAAAAAAATTTTAATATCTCTATGAAAACTGCAAACATACAATAATACATTAAGAACAATCAAACATTATTTTTAATAATTCACCTTATATGATTCAATTAAGAAATTAGTAAAAAAAAAAAAATTGAAATTGAATCAAATTTTGGTTTTGCGGTTAGAGCCAAGAATCGAACTAGAACAATTCGATTCTTGATTCAAAACCCATAATCAAATTGATTTGGGTTCACTAAGGTCCAAGTGAGTACGAGCATAAATTCTCATTTCAACTTTGTATGATACGAGGCCAAGTGTTTGATATTGTATGAATTTGCTACTTACAATGTACCTTCTCTCTATAGAATTTGGACATATTGGCGTCGATTACAACAATTGAAGTCTTTTTTTAGTAAGTTTTAAATTTGATGTAGCAACCATGGTCCAAATTATATAGAAAGGTACGTCGTAAGTAGCAAAATCATACATATCTAAAAGTCTTGTCCTTATCAGGCAAAGTATCAAAAATAGTATCAAGGAAGCAATTGCACCTATCAATCTGACACCCATTTAACCAAGATTGTCAATTTTGGGTCCATAAATCCTTTTTAACGAAGCAAATGTATTGATAATAATTTTTCCTTTGTTGTTGCCTTACAGTATGGGACACCACGTATTACTTAAAAGGACTTTTGGATTCCTCCCTTGCATTGCCTATTAGCTGATCTAATATGAGTTGATTTCTTTTTTAATTGGACAATAACTTATTTATATATGTCATGCATTTTAGTTGTTAAAATTAAGGTTTATCATAAACATTTTGCTTGATATTCATTGTTTTGAAATTTATTTACAAATTTTACTAAAGGTTCGAGGAGAATCAATACTATGTTACATTAATGAGAGTACGATACAGCGTTATAAAATCAATTTTTACAAAGTTCCTTTTTGGTAGAGATTTTATAGAATAGATATTATGAAAAGTTGTTTTTTGGAGAATGTATAGTCAAAAATAGAAAAAAGTTATAGATCCATGTGCAAAATTATTTTATTGGAAGGATATGTCGTTCAAAATGAGTCCGATAAACAAGGACAAAATCTATTCTAAAAAATAAGGCTAAAACTTAATGGTTCTAAAGTACCATATCTAAGCACAATACACTATTATATCTTGCTAATTATTCGCGATTCGGGACTAGTTAGTTATAATGTTGTAGCGCATTATTTTATACATATTAAGCTCGTCAACTGATTTAGTTGTACAACTATCATGCTAATTTATGTGGCATACACATTCACAAAAGCTTTATCTACTGCAATGCTTGAGAAAGTAATTAACAAGGTATGTCGATCTCAAATGATATTATCATCAGCCCATTCATGATTTCAATAACGTAGCCATGATAGATGGGAACACAGGATCATACTGATCTTCAAGTCTCCAAGTCACCTTATTTTATTTTTTTCTAAATGAATTCGCTAACTAATTAATTTAGCTCAAGGTTGTCCTCACTGTCATTGATCTACTAGATATGTATCCAGGGGCGGATCCAGCACTTGGTTAGCCCCCGCGGCCACCCTTGCTGGATCCGTCGGGAGCTTCACCAAACAGCCGCCGACTCGACGTCCGCCGAGAAGAATGAAATGAAGAAGAAGAGGCGGTCATTTTTCCCCCTTATTGTTTGGGCCTTTCTTTTAAAAAATAAGGCTCAATGGAATGAAGAATGAGCCCAAACCATAGCCATGGGTTTCACTTTTGCCACCCACAACAAAACCAAATCCAAATCCAATTTTTGGTCTGGCATAGGAGAGAGACGACATGGGCAACGTGAAGCAGTAGTGACTGTGAGTTTGTGACGATGACGCCGCTGATTGACGAGATCGCTGGACGGTGGACACCTGGACTGGACGGTGGTGAGTGGTGGACGTAGGACGCGTCACACTGGCCTGGCATTGCTGGATCTTGGAGCTTCGTCTGCGCTTCTATTGTGGTCTTCCTCACGGCAAAAGGTATTTGCTCAAAAATCTTGTCCCTTGAAAATTTGAAATCAATATTGCTAGTTGCTATAAATCTTATCGCCTATGACATATTCTTTTTCAAAAAAATTTTTTTTTTTTTTTAGTTTTTGTGAATTTTTGATTTATGAATTATGAGAATTTATGTTATATTATTATTTGAAACTATGAGTTATGACTTATAATTTTGATTTGTGATTTGGGAATTTAGGTTTTTAGGAAACTTAGGGATAAGTGAAAAAAACTTAGGGAAACTTAATGCATTTACTTATGTATTGAATTTCATTTTCGACTAGTACGATCGTTGATTGATCAACAGTCATTGGTCACCGCTCAACAGTCTCCGCCCTAACTGAACGAAAATGCTAGATTCGCCCATGTATGTATGTATCTTGGTGACGTTCTTAGTAAACTAAAATGCAAAAAAGCAAGGAGGGGTACTAAAGGCAATAAGCTCGTACGTGCTACTAAACTGCAAGAAAGAGAAGGTGAAAGGAGAATGCCACAAAAAGGAGAACACGAGAATCCAATGTAAGATTGAGATAGAGGAAAAAGGTGAAGTGAA